CAGCTTCCAGAAGTTAAATCCCTCTCATTTAAGACTCTTTGGAGGGAATTTCTTTTTCCCCAAGTGAAGATTGCCTCTTACTGAGCAAACTGCATTTGACCAAGATTTGACTGGTGTAAAAGTTACTAAATCTCACCAGCTGTTATTTTATCCAGAACAACCCTATCAACATATGAAAGTGGAGCTGTTTCCACCCCAGCACCCTCTAAGTTATCCTGGGTGAGGGTTCAGCCCAACTCTTATAGTGTAAATGTACTGATGGCTTTGCCACAAACTATGCAATCCTATCAAAGCATCATGGCTCCATTACTGACACCTTACAGAGACCTTGACACAAATTTCCCTTTGCTTACAACAGGCTTGCACTTCTTGCCAGTGTCAGTCAATCTTTTAATAAAGCCAAAATCATTTCCCAACAAACACATTAAGCTCCGGGCTGCTCTGAAACACATCCAGAAGACTTCAAGAACACACTCACAACTTGCAGTAAATTCATAGCCTGAGCATCTTATGTTTTGTTCAACAGTTCTTGTGGCAAACATAGCCATCTAAACCGAGGAGCAAAATCTGGAGGCTGCCTTTTAGGTGAAGGACTTTGTAATAGCACAATGAAGAATGCATTTATAAAACTCCTGCTTGTTGGAAGAGCAGAAATGTGAAACCCACTGCCTTAGGCAAACACCAGTTTGCTCAGTTATCTCTGCTTTTTGATTCTCAGCTTATTTTCCAGTTCCCTAACATATTCTCAGAACTTGGGTGGGGGAATGGGGCATCATATATTCCTTTCCAATCAGTCTGATAATCTTGCTTTATACTCTGTAATAGAGAATCCCACTGAATGGGAACAGTATTACAGTGGGGACAAGGCAGTGAGAGATAAGAATCAGGTTTACTGTTCCAATTTTCTTGTCATAAAATCAGTTAGCATCATAGTTGATGCCCATATTAACAGTGGATTAGTTCACAAACACATGTGAAGTCACTTTTCTTCTTATGTCAGCCTGTAATGTCACAGGAATGGAATCATGTTAACAGCTCATAAGCTTTTTTACCTACAAATGTGCATCTTGAGACTTTGGGGCTTGCTAATTTGTCATAGCTACCTTGTCCAGCTACCCTGGGACTGTACTTGGAACCTCCAAAAGTAACCCAACCATTCTGTACAGCGTGGTTTGTGGGGTCCAAGACCAACAGCCAAAACAGACCCCATTGCTCTGAGATTTGGGCACTCAAGGGATGCACAATACACACTGACCAACACACTACACACAGCAGACTCTGGCTTGGGGCATCACAGTTCACCTTCCACTAATTGTGGTGACTACAGCGTTGGCCAGAACACACAGGTAATTATAGCTTGATCTAGAGATGGGGAATTTGGGGCAAGTCTCCATTAGCAGCACTGTGTCACATATCTGAGCTAACTCCAAAAGAACTCTTATGCCTATATATCTCAGCACCGCTCCAGGGAGAGAGATCAGCTCAGGTTCTCAAAAGTATAAAGCCACTTTAACATGGCATAATTACCCCCTGCACCAGCCAGGCTGGTCCTGCTTTGAGTATGTGAACTAGCCTGTCTGCAGCTTGTTCTCCTTACATTACTGATACCCACTGAGCAGAGTAGCCAGCTGGTGAGTTCAGGGGCCAGATCCAGTTCATGAGGCAGAAAATCTGGTCCCTGGGGAGGCTGGCTGATCAACAGGCCAGCCAGACTAGTATTTCTGTGCGCCTGCTTAAGTGCGTGAAAGGGCAGGACACAGGTCAGCAGCACTTATTAAGTTGCCAGTAAATCGGGACATACATCAGACACATACCAGTGGGTTACACAAACACATGTTTACAGAGCTCCACTCATATGTAATTTCAGCAGCTTCAACCAGACCATCCTCACGAGCACGGGCACACCAGTGCAGAACTATCTGCAGCACTGCGGACTGATTGGGTGCACAGCCAGCCCCCATATGATCCATACATTAAGGGAGAAATTAGCATTTGATGTCTGTTTCAAATTGTAAGCAGCCCTGCTGCAATTAATCACAGCTTGGTTGACAAAGCATACTGCACTGAAATGACAACATGCATTCTGGGAAACTAACACTGTCATCTTCAGCCGCAACAAGTTTATTTTAAACCTCAGAACAATGAAGGTTTGTCACCGAGCCCCTTGCCCATTCTATGAACACAGCTTTTTAAACAAGTAAGAAGCAGATGGCCCAAAGGATCATTTACCAAGGCTTAGATTTCACTATCACCTTCTGGAAGGAGTCTTCCAAGCCAGGGACCTGCGTCCTCAAAGCAAGTATGTTGTCTCAGTGACTGAAAGCACCCAGCTCATTCACTTGCACAAAGGGCAGAGGGAACATGCTATGTGATGTGTTACCTGTCTGTGCGCATTTAATTGCTGAACACTCACATGATAACTCTAGAACTACATACTGGACTAATTACTACTCATAAGATAGTTTAGATGGATGAGACCTCAGGAGGTCTCCAGTCCAACCTCCTGCTCAACACAGCTTTGTGATCAAGCCAAGTTACTCAAGACCTGATTCAGTTTCCTATCTACCCCATTGTTTTCAGCAAGACATAATCCTCTGCTGGTAATCATCACCACTGTTTGATTTCCATTGCTCACTGGGCGTCGCTGAATCTTAATGCCAACTGAGCGTTTTTCTGAGCTGCAGCTTGTATCTGAATTATTATTTTTCACCATTCACCTATTGTTTATGCAGAATTCAACACGTACAACAAAGGCAAATGAAATCACTTGACATGAAGTCCTAACTCAAGCAGTTAATCAGCTTATTTCTCAACAAATCAGACAAAACAAGAAAGTTAACTGAGGGAAGAAGAACCACACCGCAGCAGTTTATGCAGACATGTGGCCACTGTTCAGCTAATCTGTCTACAGCCTTGTAGGCAAGAAAAAAGTCATTTTTTTTTGTGTTCCATGCTGAAGAAGCGAGCTTTTAGGTGGGATTTGTATGTCTAGAAGATAACTTGGCAAAGAGTGGAAGGGTTTCCCACGTGCAGGCAGGACTGTGAACCAGAGATGGATGTCAAGGTAGGTATCATTGGTAGAATGGAGGAAGATAGAACCAGAAACAAAGCCTGAAGTAAATTATCTAGAAAGAACATGACTTCCAAGTGATTTAACCGTGCTCTCAGAATTTGAACTTAATGTAGGCACATTCCTTAGACACTTGGAGCCGGATTACATCTGCTCCCACTGCCCTCTCAACTGATGGTATCGTCTCCCCACACAGAACGTAGTCTCATAATCTTGTTCCCTTCTCCTTTGGCCAAGTCATGCAGAATGAAGCTGGACAAGACAATGAAAACGTGTGAGGGACCAGAGAATTATTAATGGTACACAGGTTTGTTTTTGCTTTGAGAAAAGCTTGAACAGGCCTCTGAACGTTCAAAAGATGACTGCACATTCAGTAGGAACAGAAAAAGCAGGCCAGGACCTACAAGGTGACAAGTGTCTTCCATTACACCTCATTCTCTCCCCAAACAATGGATGAAAAATGTTGCGAAACCAAAGGAACAAGTGGTAGTTAGAAACTCAACTCATGCGTTGCCCTTTTTAAACCTAAAACACACCCAGACCAAGACACCACTATAGTCAAAGTCAATGTCAAGAAACAAAGTGTCCATGATTTTCTCACAGCGTATTTCCACAATGACTAGAGGTCAGAACAAGCTATTCACTCAAAGTGGGACTTCCACACAAATGCTGGAGTGAGAACTTGACTACATTTCAAGCACATAAATGAAACTGAAGTTATGCTACAAATGATTTTCCTTCCAAAATCAACTTGTGGCACCAAAAATGATGTTCTGAAATCTGAGTTAAGACTGACAACTGAACATACGAGGCAGTTCTGACATAATATGAAAATAGAGCCATTGCCGTGAACTAGAAAGAAAGCAACAACCGTTAAAAAAAATCCTTCTTCTTGCCCAATACTGTCACTTGAAAGTCTTCTGTTGTGCTTACAGACTAACGGCTGTCAAATCTCTATCTTTGTTAAACCACATCACATGTTTTGAATAAGGAAGAATGAAATTCACCAGCGCAAAACTCTCAACCTCAGGGAAGACCAGACCAAGCAGGACAGAGTCCCTAATTGTTTTGGACAGGAACTTCCATCTGCCTTACATCTTGCAACTGAAGCAGATCTCCAACTGATGTTGAACATTGTGGCAGTTTTCACCAGTTTTCCCCTTACACTCTCTGTATTTACAACTGTTTCAACAGACATAGTTAACCACAGAGCTGTGCTGATTTACTGAAAACCAACATAATCTTATCCATTAGCAGAATAATTGTCTGGCTAGTCTTTCACTCCACACCTCTCGCCCAGCTTCCCATGGCTTAATGAGTCCCTTCAAGCAGGCTTTTCCCAGTGGAAGTTCATGTATTCTTCCATGTCTTATTTTAGATGCTTCCTCTTTCAGTAGGTATTAACCAACCTATTTTTCTATCTACTAAGCTGAAATCACTTTGCTCCTACTGAATAATACCTAATACTGCATCCAACCATATGGAAACCAGTGACATTACCTGGGGAAGATGCTAGCCATGATAAGCAAAGTTTATCTGGACACAAAATGTGTCCTGATGACTTGTAAAACTCAAAAGGTTGGCAAGAGTAATGGGTTCTATAATCAGTGCCTGGAAGTGGTATTGTGCTACCTACGTATGTCTTGGTGGTAACAGGGTATGGATTTGAAATTCGTAAAAGTTTGTTAATCTAGTGATTGAGATTTTCCTGGCACAATTTACTAAGGGTAGGTCTTCTTGCACTTTGGTCAACATAAACCTGCCATATTCATGACCACATGATGCCACGAAGGCCATAGGCGGGATGTGAACGAATGCATCCAAATACAAGAACTGGGCTTCTGATCCACTACCAAGCCTCACTGAGCACGTTTGTAGGGTGAGAAGAACAAGCTAAGAGAAGTTCCAGTGGCAGAAAAGCCGTGCTTACCTGAAACTTGGTGTGGAACTGTAGGAGAAGAGGCAGCAGGTGACATTCTGTGCCTTAGGAACGTTGCTGGGGCCTCTCTGGCCCTGCCTCCCATCTTCAGGAGAACTCAGATGACCCTTTCTCCTTCTTGTCCATGAGGAATTCCCAATGAAGTCATCAAGACATTCCTAAAGAAAAAGAAAAGAAAAAATGTTTTCTTCTGTAGAGCAGGACTGTAAGGGTTGTGCTTTGCTGCAATCCCACACAGAAAAGTAAAATAGGAGTCTGGATCATGAGCTGGTAGTGTGCACAACTTCAGGCTCTGGGACAAGAAAGACCCTTTGTTGTTGCTGGTTTTCTTTTGAATTTTAAAAGCAACATGAACACGAATTACCTAAATGAACAAGGACATAAAATTTGCTTAAAAAATTAAGACTATATCCAAGCTTCTCCTCCTCTACACAAAACAGTTTTCTCAGCCTTTATCCTATGGCCATATCAGTTCTCCACTCAGTCCCTCTGAAACACCTTCTTTATTTGTAGCAAAACACTTCTTTGGGGCCAAATGCTGCCTCTGCTCTGGCTAAACTTCTTTTCCCCCCCAGGTCAATCCAACATCTCAAGCATCAGCAGTTCCCTCTGATACTGTGGAAAGTCCAGACACTCCAAATTCCACCCCAGTTCTTCAGAGAGGATAACATTTCCCTGCCCAGACCTAGGTGAAGAAAAAAACCCATCAACTTATTCAAATATTTGTTGCTAGACAGGGAAGGTCAGGCTCTGACCTCACTTCCACAGGCGTAAGGTTGGAGTAACGACTGAAGTTCGGGCTCTGCACCCCTGTGTCTGCCGCCAGCGTGAAGTCACTCGGTGGGCATCTATCACCACAAGTGTAAAGGGAGAGCTTTGCATGCACAAAGCTCTGTAAAAAGCAAAGAAATGAGCCAGGCCTGATCCTGATGCCGCATCAGTATTCAGCAGTGGTTGCAGTGGGGCAGTTCGGTCCTTACACTGGAGTAAGGAAAATCAGGATTAGGCACCATCTGTCTCAAAGAGTCAACGAGCAGAATTGCTCTACATATTTGAATCCTCTTCCCCGTATCTTTAATCTCTTACACACTCCAGGTTTTCCATTCAGCTCCGGTGACAAAAGATTTTTGCAAAATGACAGTCCGGATTGAGAGAACAGAAATGCCAACCTCTGACAAAAGAGATAGCAAACTTTTATCGGCGATAAGTGCTCCTCGCCTGCAGACATCGGTCTGCAGCGGTAAATATAAGGCAGATGTCGAATGGAAATTAAACATTGTGCTCTCAGGGTGGCCTCGGCCGCATTCAGAGCTTGATTTAAAACAAGGCCAGAGTTCTTTCATCATTTCTTCAAAAAGTTTCAGTTCTAAAGATATTCCAAACAGACACATACTTGACCTAGAACTTGGCAATGCAGGACAATGTGTGCATGTGAAAACACCAATACCGGGGATGAAAGGCAAAGCAAGTTGTCTGCGAGATGGACCAAGAGAATTTCTTCATCAAATCACTTCTATTTCAGCGTTCTGAGGGTTAAGAGTGAATTCAGGTGAAATATCTTCTCCCTTTTCTTTCAAAGTAAATCCGCGGCGGTCGTTCATCATTTGGGAGACGCAGGCAGCTCGGTGTGCTGAAGCACCACCAAAACAGCAGCACTGCTTGGCAGCTTTAGGAGGATTTCTCTGCACGCTCCTTTACGACTCGAACCGTATTTACGCCTCTGAAAGCATTCTGCCTGTTATTATTAGGCATAGTGAAATTGTTTAGCACTTAATAGCCAGACTCGAGGAACACAGATTTGAATGGCCCGAATAACGTAGTAAGAAACTCCTAAAAATGAAACCGAAGGCTGCTGAGCATACTTTAGTTAGGAGAATAAGCATAAATTTAAGGTTTGAAATGATGCTCATATTTACAAAATCAGCTAACAGCATAAACTAAATAGCATTCACTTCTCTCCTACTTTGTTAGATTTTCCGGACAATAAAATACAGACAGTGAAATTACGGGATGATTTACTATTGGAATATGGAAATATGGTTGTACTCTTCTCGGACGCTGTATTTTTTGAAATAACCTTTTTTTTTTTTTTTTTTTTCCCTAAACAATTTCACATCAAACAGAGTGAAAACAAGAAACTCCTGAGGCCGTGACTTTGTCACCTCCCCAAAGTTTGGGTGGCTGCAGCAGCCGGCCTGCGCCCGCACAGCGATCAAACACAAACCCAAATGGCCATAACGTCCTGCCTGCATTTCTCCCCCCTGAAAGGACGAAATCGTGACCGGATTTTACTTTCAGATGACCTGACAAACTAGCACTCCCTGGCACGAGCAGGGCAGTCATTTCCCCTCCATTTCCCAGTACAAGATTTAATCAGCTGAAACACAAACCTCCTTCTGCACTGAGATCTTTTCGAACAAAACCACGCTGCAAAAAGTCTCTCTGGCCTTTTTAAAAATCATTTTCAATTGCTTGAAAACACAAAATAGAGATGGATGGATGAATGGATGGACAGCCAGAGAAATGCTTTCAGTCATGCTTCCCCCCCCAACCCTTAAAATTGAAAAGCATCGGTATCCAAATAGCAACAGGAAATTTTTACCTTGTGGCTAAAAAGCCCACTGTTCACTTTGCAGCTGCCTCTATTTTTTGCTGGGCAAAGCACCAACACAAAAGTCTGTCCTAAGAAACCAAGCTTTTGGCACAAGGGCAGCGACAAAACGCAAACCTACAAAGAATTTTTCCCCCCCGTCCCGTCGTTATAATTCCTAATTTTGTGGGATGCATTGCTGGGCTGTTTATCATAACAGTGTGCAATAAAAAGGACGAGTAACTCTTGCAATTTTCTCCCTACTCCTCCCCTTGACAGGGGCCACTGATAGGGAAAGAGGCTCGGAAAAGCAGAGCGGTGAAAGGCTAAGAAACAATAGGCAACCATGGCTTTGACAATGCAGCCCTGAACCCTTCTTGCTCCCGCTGTGACACTTGCATTCAAGAGCAAGGGCGGCTGCCATCATAAGAATGGACAATGGCATGAGGAATACAAGGGAGAGGGGGGGATAAAAAAAAAAAAAAAAAAAAAAAAAAAAGGAAATCAGATGAATTCAGAGCTAAGATGGCAGAGCTCTCACCTTTTCCGCTTTTTTCGAGTAATCTGGATGGAGACGTCCCGCAGAGAAGAGATAAAAAGGGTGTGCTGAACTGTTGGATGGTTCTGAAGACTTCTGCATTTGCAAACGCATTTTAGAACTATTTGTAGGGGTATATATGCTGCATGCCATCTCTCTGTCTCTGTCTCTCTCTCTCTCTGTGTCTCTCTCTCTTCTGTTTTATGTCCTGCTATCTCCATCACACACCTCTAATAGTATGAAGACTTTCTGCCCATGTAAGTAAGTGAGAGTGTGTGTTCCTTAATGTTTGAATCAAGACACACGTCTGCATGCATTTCTAATCTAAGGAGCCTATAGCAGTTACTACAACTATCAATTAGTCAGCAATAGCTTGAGATCCCCATGTGTCTGGGTGAACAAAGGTGAGAAACACATGCAAATAGTACTACAGCACCTGGGTCACGTACAGTAACTTAGCTAGCAACAAATAATTGCATCTGTTTCTGCCTTTTCGACGCTTCTTGCTCATTGTTATGTAAAGTTACAGCTTATTAATGTGAATAGTAACACAATTAGACATGGCATTGTATATTTTCATTTGAACAACACAGTAAAAGGAAATTAAGCTTAACTAGATGGAAATAAATGGTGACTTAAAGGCTTTAAACAAAAAGATTCTCTGATCTGCGGCAGTGCTTCCATTTTTTTGATCAATTGTTCTTGAGTTAAAGATGCAAATGAAGTAGATGTATTCGGACATTTCATATATATTAGATAAGAAACTGATTATTCCGGAGGAGACAGAGAGGACGCCTGATTTCCTGAAGTTAAGTCCATAAAAAGGGTACACTCAATCTGTTACTATCTTTTTTAATTAAGCGACTGTTACTTTTAAGAACATTTAAAGGGTGTTTTCTCCGATGTTTTAGACTTAAGCCAAACAATTAAGAAGAAAGATACGGTACCTTTGACTCTCTCCTTCTTCTTAACCTCAAAAAAAAAAAAAAAAAAAATTAAAAAAAAAAAAAAAGAGGATTACCGTTAAAAACAGTCAGAGGTAAAATGGACTTTAAAAAAAAAAAAGAAAATTAAAAAAAGAAAAAAAAAAAAACCTGAATGAAAGAGCAAAGCGATAAAATAGAGACGCTCCACGATCCAGCAGCACCCTGAGTGCAGCACGAGACGAGCAGAGCGCGGCTGCTATCCGTGAGCAGGCAGCATTTCAGAGGTGGCAATGGATTCTGTGGACAACGTTATTTACACAGATTTGATAAGAGCGACAACGGCTCCAACCCGTAATTTAATTTGCAGAAATTATATCCCGCGTGGCGAAGTGCGGGGAAGTCTGAGAATTAAGCAGTGTGAGAGGGATGGTTTGGTGCTGAGCTTCTCCCCACGTACAGCGTGCGGGCAGGGCTGCAGGGATGCACTGCCTGACCCTCTGCCGGGAGCTCGCTTCCTACTCCTACCAGCTTCCTTGGGAGGCTCATTAGTGACACCAAAGGAAAAGCCTTCTTCCCAGTGTTGGGCTCTGAGAACCTGCCAAGTTTATTTAGCTTTAGGAACGACAAAAAGAAGAATAATAAAAATAACATAATAATAAAAAAAAAATCTTCCGATTAAAACAACAGAAATACCTCCTTAAGGAAATCAATGCCCAGCTCCCTCACCTAGCAGACTGCTATGCGTACAGCAGGTGCTCGCGGAGAGGCAATGCTGCAGGAAAACAACGCAGCGTCCCTGCAGAACACGGCTCTGAAGGCTCTGTGGGTGCAGCACTGCCTGCCATGCAGCTCCGCGTCCCAACCGCGCTGCTGGGATGTGCGGGCGCTATGGAGACGGTGCATCCCACGGAGCGGTGCTGAGCTCCGGGTGAGAGTCACCAAAACTACCAAATAATCGCGCCCTTCGCTGAACAATGAGACCTTAAAATATACGTGCAGGGGTATTACATGCAGAACAGGCAG